AGCTCAAAAAGATAGCCTTTTGTCTGCCACGCCCAAAAGGATAGCCACTTGTACGTAGGGAGGGTCGACAAGATTCTTCGCTTTCGGCTTTCGCTTTCGGCTCTCGTGTTCCGCAACTAGGATTATCTAATACAGCTTCAGATTGTTCTGGTTTCCATGATGATGACGTGCTAAAAATAGTTACGAAAATAGTTTTTCTTAGAGTCAATTACGAACACAATAACACGCCCTGTCTCTGGAATTACCCATCTTCGGAACTTAAATACTGTAGAAGTGAAATTGGGCGACTTGTATTTTAATTACAATGAGTGCAGATGGCGGGGTCCAGGGACGCCGCGGTGGAACAGCAGCAAATGCTGGGCGTGCTTCGCCAGAAATATGACGAGGCTCAGGACGAGCTGGAGGAGATGCGCGCGCTCATCGAGGACCAGGCGGGCCACCTCGAAGGCTACCGGAACAAGGTACGCTGCGCGTGCGCTGGTGCCGCTAGTGCAGGCAACGAGTGACAGCAACTCGGCACAACGTCTGTTTGCGTTTGGGTCCCTGCAGTACCTCATGGCGCAGCAGCAAGTTGAAGAGCAGCGGCGACAAATGGAACAGGTGGAGGCCGAGCAGGACCGGATTACGGAGCAGGTGCAAGCGGAGCTTCACCGCGTCAAGGTACACGTCGTGCACGTGTTGGTGTGAGACCCCAACAGGGGCGAAGTGGCGACGCCGTGTCACTCAAGGTGTGCCCTCAGAACGAGTTCGAAGAGAGGCTGCAGGAGCTTGCGCCCCTGCCAGACATCCTGAAGGCGACGCAGTCCAAAATGCACGAGGAGAAGCAGCTGCGGTTGATTGCGGAGCACAACTGTGCCGACCTCAACCACGAGCTGGCCACCGTCCTGGAGAGAGTGGGTACTCGCTGACGGCTGGAGGCTGTTGGATGACGCCCGGAGAGTAGGCAGCCCGTCGTGTTCCAGCTGGCGGACAACGACAAGGGGATGGGCGCCCTCCGCGCGCAGCAGCAGTCCTGGATGGACGAGCGGCAGTCGCTGATCTCGCACGTCGACGCCTACGAGAGGAAGTGCAACAAGCTCAAGGAGGACATCAAGTGGTACAAGTACGTAGCGGGACAATCAGGACCAGTCACTAGAACACGTGTCGTTACAAAGGCGTGCGCGCACGCTCGGCAGGCAGGGCATGGAGCAGCTGGAGCAGTCGAGCGCCAACAGCGACAAGCTGTACGAGGACACGGTGCTGGAGCTGGGCAAGGTGCGCGGCGAGCTGGAGGCCGCGCGGGAGCAGGCGGCGCGGCAGGCGACGCGGCAGCGCGACCAGGTGGAGACCATGCGGCGCTCCTTCCAGACGCAGATCGGCGAGCTGGAGAAGGAGCTGGCCGCCAGCCGAGCCAGCGCGAGCGCGGCCCACAAGGAGAAGGAGGAAGTGAGTGCCCCGGGGTCCTACGGCGAGATTAGAAGGCACACTCGCGCGCGAGTGAGTACGCTCGCTCACTTTGGCGCATATATCCCTTTAAATTTCTTTGCGAATGTTCAAAAGTTGAGTGAAGAAATGAAAATCTTAACACGTTCAGTGCTATTGTGCAATGTGCATCCTATGGAGGCTGGAAAAATTAGCAAGTAGCGCGAGACCACATCGTGGTCACGCCACACTGAACGTGTTGACTGAATTTATATGCAGAGAATGGTCCTTGGATGCGCTTGGATGTCACCATACTGTAACATACGGAGGCTGCTCGCGACTCGGAAGTCGATATTGACGATTGACGATACGGTATGCATTCCTCCCGCAGATCCAGCAGCGGCTCCAGACGGAGGTGTCCAACATGAGCCAGAGCTTTAAGCAGGCGCAGGACCGCATCAAAAACCTCAAGTCTGTAGTCGATTTCCTAAAAGACAGCGTTATCAACATTGAAAAAGCTCCCAATGAACTGGACTGCTTGCAGCCTAATAACTAGTGGGCCTATGCCTGACTGGATGCTCATGTATTTTATCTAAGTTAGTGTTTTGTGACCGTTTGTGTATGTAAATACCTTTGTTCGGCTTCTATAGATCAGGATAAAATAAAACACGTTAAACTGTATTGATTGGCAAATATTCCCGTTTCTAATTTTTGGATGAGCTTGCAACGTCGAGGAGTTCTGACGCCGAGCTCCTCAAGCGCTGAGTGAGCCGTTACCCCGGTAAACTTGAAACTACGCGGGTAGAACTTTGACCAACTGAACAGCTGACGTAAACAACAAAAACAAGTACTGAGCGTCGACGATATTATTTGTGTGAAATAGTTTACTTTCACTTCATTGGCATGTGTGACATGCCAGATCAGAAAATTTAATCGCTTTTACAAATGGCAAAAACAATACAAACGAACATTTTTTTATTTAAAGGTGATCTTGAGTGCACGTAACTCCACATATTCAAAATTTTCCTTTCTGCACTATTTACCAATTAATCATCGTTGAACGCCTAGGTCCTGGCGTTAATATTTGGAAAAAATTAAAATGGACAACATTCCGCGTAGAAATCCGGTAATTATATCGCTTTGAATACTAAAAGCTTGTGTTTTTGTAGAAAATTCATCGACCATAACCCCACCAGCACCGGTCACAATAGATATTTCATCCCTTACTTTCTTTTCTTTAGTCTGGCGCGATAGAGTTGACCCATGAAGAAAATGAAACAATGAAAAAGTGTGTTACCACTTCTATTTGGACTCATTCACTTCCAGCTATGATAGTATCCTCCGCCTTCATACGTTACTTGCAACATTACAAAGGTAGGATACCCACCCCTACTTACTCCATTTACATCAACTTACTTTTGATAAACTATCAACTACCTCTTTGGTCTGGCAGGTGTCACACTAAGGTTCTGGGCCAATACTGGCATGATAATAGGAGCTGGTATAGTTGGTCGAATAAGTGCTCTACCTGGATGCCTGCAGGAAGTTGTATCAAAATATCCGGAGGGAAGTTTAGCGAAAACAATTGAAGAAATGAAAAATAAAAGGCAAGTATAACTATTCTGAATTTTTCCTATCAACATTTTCAACATTGTCCTATAGAATATTGCAAATTTCTTTGTCAATTTCTTTTCAAAGTTCATGACATGAGTAATCGAAATTGTTTTATTTTTGATAGGCAAGGATTATTACAAAGTGATCGTGAAGTATATGAGCAACCAGATGATAAATGTAATTACATAATACTTGATTATATTTAAGCCCCCTCTTTGAAGGCCAGTATAAATTGATATACATTTTTACTTAATTTTCAGCTGGTATATTTGAACCATATGCCAGACCAGCACCTCAAGCTGGACCCACAACTCAGTCTTCTGGTCAAACCTATGACGATCTTCGTCGCAGAAATAGAGATCAATATATAGACAGCAGGAGAACGTAAGTTTTCACTTCTGTAACTTACATGGTTAAGTATTAAACCTCATATTTTAAAAATACTTTAATTTCAGGAACCGAACTTCTCCTGCAACACCATCACCACAGGATCAACCACCATCAAGCTCTATGTATTCGCCAGCTTCAGAGCCCTCCAGCTCATTGTACTCATCACTCCCTGAACCATCAGGTTCACTTTACTATGATCCACCCTCCCCCTACATGGATTCTTCCCCTGGAGTCTCACCCCAGGAGGAGTCCAAAATAAGAAAGCGGAAAAGGGTTAACCAATATGGTGATGAAATTGAAGATTAGTAGGACTTATTTGGCAGATTTTCTAGATTTTGTTAATACCATGCCATAAGTTTCAAGTGTTTCACCATCTGAAGGTAACTTGTGTTCTTTAGAATACTTTTCCATGTATTGTTCTGTAATTATGTAGAAAAATTAATATTTTTAGACTTGTGAATATACTGACTCTTCAAAATTGTAGTCTGCAGAGTCATTATACCAAAGCTTCCTAGAACTCCTGGAACATATTTTTTGACCATTTTTGTTGTGTGTAAGATATAGCTAGCATGAGTAAAAAAAAACAACCTAATGCGGAGAAAGGAGCACAAAAAAAATATTCTTGAAAAATGAAATTTTATACCATTTTATTTTTACTTCTCTGTTCTGTGTCACAAACTAAGTTCCCAATGTGTAAATGCCTAATTGTTCACCATTATCTTCGTCCTCATATTAGGATCAGGACCTTCCAGTTAGGGTGTTTTAGTACCCTTCTTCATAAGAAACCACACAAGTCCAAATGAAAAGCCAGCAGGGCTTATATTATCTACAGCTTCCACATATTGTTGTGCGTCAGAAATACTTAGCTCCACAACTTCTATAACTTCACCTTCATCAACTAATCCTCCACCTAAGGAAAGATAAAAAAAAAAAGTAGGGGGGCGTGATATCATAACTGTCAGAGGTAAAATAGACAAATACTTGCTCACCCTGATTAACTTTCATGTCATCCGTTACTTCCACATAAAAGAAATTACTACGTGTTCCTTCTGTTGAAACGCCAGCTCTAATAATGACAGAAAGTCAGTCATAAAATAAAATACACTACTAAAAGTAAACGACTACTAGACAAGCTATTATGAACATACCGAGCTGTTTTAAACTTCTCAAACCTTTCCACAGGAACATCATAACCACATTCTTCAAGAACTTCCTCCCGTGCTGTTTCAGCAAGGGACTTATTTTTATCAACAATTCCAGCGCAGAATTCAAGGGTAATACCTATTGATGGTGGATATTTAGTGGTATCAATGATCCCACTTTTCCTGTCGTCTTCAGGAATGGATGAAAAATATACAGCTGAAAAACAAACAAAATGAAAATATATGTTACTACAATTTAAATGATTTAGAAATAAAACAGCTGCTTCGCATGCTCACCTGGCCGAAATTGTTTTACGCAAATTAGCTTCTGGCGAGTGATGTTAAAAATAATAATAGTGACACTGCAGAATTTAAAAAACAAATCAGTAGACGTACAATCACATAATGATTTGACATTAACACATGGGTTACTGTTGTTATTATTGTACCTGTCATGCACCTTGATCATATCCCATTTTCGTCGCTTTCCATTCTGAATGCAAATACATGTAAATAAGATTTCTAGCACACTAAAATTTAAAGAAGATAATGTTTGTGCACAGACGCACGGTGTATGAAGATCATCTGATGACACATTGCTTACCTGTCTAAATTCCAAGCTGAGAGGTTTCACAAAAGCTGACTCTTTTAAAGCTGTTACTTTCATATCCTCAACAACTAGGCTTTTCATTGCCATGGCGTCTGATAGGTGTAAGTAAGATAATCGTTAATTCTGAGGGAAACTGGAACTTCCTCTAGATAACCTAGCCACGAGACCACTCTGCTTTCTGCTACTAGTAAACAAAACAGATGCTTACCACCCTACCAACGTATCACTATTCGCAGATTGTGTTTTCAACTACACTTCAAAAATTTTAAATTTAAATCGCCTCACCCACGAAAGCTTGGTTACACATGACTCGTTTTAAAGCAAAGTAAAACCAATGCCTTTCGATGTCAGTTCCCCTGCTCGGTTACATTATGATGCAGCTCCGCTGGACCGACGATAAATGCGTCAGTTGGATATTTGAATTGAAAATTCTTATTAACCAACGTCAACAACAATGAAACCACACAATGTTACATCAGTATTACTTGCCGGTCCTCGAGATTCCCATAAATCATCATTCTTAATGCAGGTACAAAGCTCAACAGTAGAATAAATTTGTCTTAAATTTAGGTTAAGGCTCTGAAGGCCATCTATTTTTTCCCCCACCTTTTTTAGGGTGCAGTGAAGTATGCAGAGGGAGGTCAAAACGTGGTCTACATCACTGCGTTTGAATTTGAAAGCCTTCCCCCTCCTTTGCAAGGCTTTCCAAAACCTGCTCCAGATATCTTCGCTCTAATAAAGTTTCTGTAAGTTTCATAATAGTATATGTCACTTAAACATGGCATCAACTTAATACTTACTCTTCTATTTTATTTTATAGATACCTCCCTAATTGGAAAGATCTGCTGCAATATGTCTTCCACTTGCATTTACATGCTCTTGTTCCTACAGTATTAATTATAGAAGCCCTTGAACATTACTGCACTAATTCCGACACTGAAAATTCTGGCAGTGCTGCAGCGACTGCAGCTTCCCACGCTGCCCTTATCTGTGCTGCACTCATTGATGGAGTTGCAGTATGTGCAAAGCGCTCCAAGAGTCCTGCACATTTGATAGTTTCATTGAATGAGCAGAAGTCTCAAAATATGTTTTCTCCACTAATTGACATTTTCTTTACTGATGTGGTATGGTTATTTCAAAAAGATGAAGACGATGGATGCAATCCAGCAAGTTATTCCATGACAAATCTAGAAACTACCTTCTCTAAAGCAAGACAACACAAAATTTTCTTTAAATGTGAAACAGTAGATGGAAATGTAGTGTTCAGTAAAGTTTCCTTCTGGGAAAACTTGTAAAAATGTAAATAAAATTAATATTAAATTAATAAATAATTTAATAAGATAATTTGTATCTGGCAGTTAGTACTTGTCATACACACTTTACCACATGTTAATAAGATATACTATAGTGACTTAGTTTGTAAATATAATACTACTAAAATGCAAGCACACTCATCTTCAAGTAACATCAATATAAAATAATTTAAGACACAATGACAATGGCAGTGAGTTAGATGGATGTGAAAAAATGTAAATTGATCTTTACAAGATAGGCATAGAAAACTGACATAAAATCATTTTGGTAACAATTTTTGAAATTGTATCAAATGAAAAGATATACCAAATATCCTGACAAAAAATATGATTTTAACACACAATAGTTACAACTATAAGGCTCATAAGTTACCCTGTTAAGAATTAAATGGCGTTTACAGTTAAATGTGTTGTTAACACCTACACAGTCTGAAGCTCGTCTCACAGAAGAAATAGAAAGCGTCATGTACTACAGTATAATGATAAAATTATGCAGACAATCTTCTGACTTGTTGTTTTTCTGAATAAAATTATTAATACAAAAATTCAAGGAAATTTTCCAGTCACCTCTAGCCACCTTCTCATAAAATCCCTCAGCTCATATTTTTATACTTGGTGAATAAGTTGTAAAGAACTCGAAGGGTTGATTTTAAATCAAGATTGACAATATCTGTAAAGGAGAAATGCAAGGAATAAAATGGATTCTTCAAGAGAAATATTAAATGGCATCGGTAAGTGCAAAATCTAAGTTCAGTACCAACCTTCAGGGCGAGCTTTTGGTTTGGCAAGTCCAGTGTCTTGCATTAACTCAAAGGCAAAGTTAACATTATGAACTTTTTGGTCAAAATCTTGAGGTGTGAGGTAGAAATCATACAAAGGAACAAAGAAACCTTCAAGGAGCCCCATGAGAAGAGTCAAATAAACTCCATCGTGGAACTGCGTTTCTAGCTCAGAAACCTCCAGGTTTATTTTATTCAAATGCTTGTTGACAAAAGTAATCAGTGACTGAAAAAGATGGATGATGTTACTTCAGAACAATACCACTTAACAGCCCTAGTCTCTTGTTTACAGCCATGCTGATGTTGACAAACTTACCCGTTTGACTACATTAAGCTTATCAGGAGGGTGATCAAAAAGAGTGTCAAATGCATCTTTCTCACAGCGCATGCCCAAGTCTTCATATGTTGATGTGATTTCTTCTGTAACTGTTCTATGAGTCAAGGTCCCATCTTTTTTCTGCAAGTTTAAAATAAAGGATTACATGAGACGTTAAAGACTCATACTTTTTCCAAACAGTGAACTAAATAATTGCACACCTGAACAATGATGACACTAACTGCCACATTTTCTGGCAAACGCACAGGGGCCCGAAACTGACGAGCCAACGCAACAAGCAGGTGCAAAATGGAAACAATATTCTTAGAGTGAACACTTTCCACACTCCATTTTTGAGCTGACCATCTGGGAAGTCCAAGAACCTATTTCACAAAAAAGTAAATGGATCCTGAAGTTTTTTAGTGTGCTTTTTTTCAAAATTATTTTAAAGTTGTTTTTGCTTAGTTCAATCTTCAAAGATAGTAAGCAAAACCAATAGAAACTTACTTTATTGGCTGTACCAAGAACAATTCTCAGTTTCTGCTTTTGACCCTCCTCAGACTGTGTTACCTCAGGTACATCAAGTTTTTCTTTAGTAAGTTTCTCTGAAAACAAATAAACTATTGTTATAGTAAGAAAATACATGCAGAGACAATTTTGAATATAGCTTTCATTATCTACCCAATAATTTCTGCAAAATTTGTCCATCATACAAATCTTCATCAATGTATTTAACAATGATGCGCTGATTAGCCAATTCATCATTTATCCATTCAATGAGAACAGTTACGAGTTCCTTGAATTTGGCACTTTCCATTGATTTAGTCTCAATTATGGCTCTTTCTTCATTTTCACCTGAAAAACATAGATAATAAAAAATATTGGAGTCTCTACATTATATTAGAAAACAATTTACCAAGACTGTCAGTAGTACCTAAATCGTAGTCTTCAGGAGGATGATCAATAGCCGTTGGACTTCCAGGAGAGTCAATGGCATGCTTCCCTTCATCTTGAAATTCTTGCACTGAAATGAAGAGAAGTGTGTAGAGACTTTAAATAAGAAATCATGGTTTGAATTTCATGCGTTCAGCATGAGCATGAGTCAAGTTGGAGGGGGGAAGAAGAGTTAAAAATAGTTCCTTTACCTAATGGGCACAAGTTAGTAACCTTCCTAATTCTTGTAATACTCTGGGAAATGAAGATTGTGAGACTAACACAATACTCTTGTTATTACAAACCAAAAAGCAAATCCAAGAAACAGATGTGCCCGCCCACTTGAATGTCAACCAATGCCTGCCATACAAGGACATGTACATAAGAAACTATTCTACACGAGAAAACGAGACACGTACCTTCCTTGATACGCTTCTTCCTGCCAAGAGTACCAATTTTCTCCCAAAAAGATTCTTCCTTGTCGTCTTTCCTTGTAGGTCCAGCAGGTTTTGGAGATTTGGGCCTGGGAGTTGCCATGTTTATCGTGTTCACTCTCTGGACATCAGCAAACAACAACAAGCAGGTCAACAACAATAGCAAGAGAAGACTGTGAATAATAGGCGTCAGGCTACAAAACACAGCAACTTGATAAAGTGTGCTAAATTCATTATTTGTGTACGATTGAATCACAAAATAAGTAAAAATTGGTCATTTTTATACAAAATATACTTTAAATTATTATATTTCTGCTTTTCGGGAACTGTCAGTTCGTCTGCGCAGCAGAAGCAACATCTTCGTGGTTGGTAGAAGACTCCCCCGACTCCATTCTGCCCCCTCCCCCTCCCCCTGTCACTTCCCCTTCCCCTCCAAGGTCCCCTCCCTTCAAAATCCATTTCCATTGATAATATTGCTGTTTTTAATAGAACAAATTTATGTAAGATTGTTCCATTCTATTCAGAACTATGTCCGGTATGGAGACAGAGAGTGACAATGAAACTTCTATTCAAGGTATATCTCGATAGAAAACACGCTTTAAAAAAAAATATACTGATGCTGTCAAATGTCAACTAAAATGGGTGGGGTTATGTGTTTATTATTAAACAAGACCGGTTGTTTCGGGTACTGTCGTTGCTTTTCTGTGACAGTTTTTAAAAGTGATTCTTCAATGTCAAAAAAGTATGAATGTTTTTTTTATGCATATTTTAACGCTGTTTGTGTACTTTCAGGTGTCAAAGACACTAATCGTTCGAACTTCTCATCAGAATTTTCAACCAAAAGAGATGATGGTAAATAAAAATGTGAATTTAAAACACAAATTATGTAATAAAACAATCATTGGTAATAAGTTCTATCTGTTTTCATTTTTTCTAGAGGACATAAGAGTTTATGCTGCAATTTCATTTGCCTTTTTATTAATCATTGTTGGAATACCACTATGGTGGAAAACCACAGAAGTCTACAGGGTACATGTACCTTATGGCCGCATTGATGACCTAAAAGAAGTTGAATTTATGTTTCCAATATCTGTTACTGTTGTAAGTAAAGATATTAACCGTGCTAATTTCATAGTGGAAGGTTTGAGAAACAGTACTTCAAGTGCGGGTAAGTTGTCTCTTTTGCTGCAAATATAAATATTTAAGTAGTTGTCTGCAATTTCATTTATGTCACTTTCTATCTTACTTTTTAGGCATAATAAATGTTAGCTATAAGACTGATGGGAACGTGGATTTAAACAAGGTTTTAACTTCACCTAGTTTACAAGAATTGGATTCTATTGACATTTTCCCTAACCCTGCAAGTCACATCTATCTTCTAGAAGTTCCAGGAATGTTGAGGTTCACAGTAAAAGATGTGGTTGTGGGTAGGAAAAGGGTCATATATTTCAGTGAAAAAGCCAGTAAGCATTATAATTCTTGTAAATGAAATATCACAGAATGTATTTGAAGCTACTAACTTTCCTTCTTAATGAAAGGTACTGAGACATTATCAGCTGTTCTCAATCAATGGATCATTAGGTCAGAAGCGTTATTTCAAACAAAGGCCATAATTGAAGCACCTAATGAGTGGTCTCGTGACAAAACTGGGAGGAGGAGAATGCCGCCAGCTGCACAATACGACCTCATGTTTTCTATGGTTCACCCTGAACCCGAAAAAAGGGATGTCAAGTGGAATGTCAGAAAAGCAATTTCAGGTGAGTTAGGTATTTGTTGCTCATCAGGCCTTGTGCCTTGCAATATGCTCAAAATATTATCTAACATTGCCAGTAATTTTTTTGTGAACAGATCACCTTGGAAGTCTTTTGACATACCTTTCACCTGTTATTACATTTCACATAAAATCTCAATGGTTGTACTCTGTGCGTCTGGAGGGCCATCCTCGACAAGTTCAAGAGGAATCACATACTTGGTATTCTCTACCTGAGGACGTTTTGCCACATATTATTACTCCTTTGGAGAAGAAATTAGGTTTGTACTACGTTGCTCTGCTGCATATGTTTGTTTCCAAACTGCCTAAATTATTTTTAAACTTATTTTTAAAATATTGTCTTTTGGGGGGACTTTCTTACAGGCTCCGGGGTCAGTGAGCACCCAACTATTCAACTTGTCCTCTATATCCCACCTTGCCAAATATCTCCTCTTTACATCACCTCATCCCGACCAAATGTGTTACCAAGCACTGCCTTCTTATCGCCTCGGTGGGGTGGAGTTCAAATTTTTAATCCACCCCAGACTCTGTGTGGTAATGTGGATGAAGAATCATCCTGGCTGGATTCTAAAACCATCATGAACACATTTAAAATGCAACTAAAACTTTTAATTGGTATCCCTGAACTTGTATGTAGTTTTTTTAACAACTTAATTTTTCTATCTAGTAGTTATACTTTAAACAGCAATGACATTATCTTTTGGGTCGTTTTTAGGAGAAAATTAAGGGTGTTGAGCAACTTCCACTCCCAGCTAGTGGTATACGTGATTGGGAACTTGATTCTCTCATGAGAATCAGAGCGACTGAGCACTTGATATCTGCAAGGATTACACTGAAGGTACGAGATGGAAATTATTTGATGTCAGCATATGCATTCAGCATGTGCCAGTTTTGTAGATAAGGTTTTATATACTTTTCATGTGTCAACGTTTTCTTTCCAGTCTCTTGCACAACTCCTTGATGAAATTAGTAACATTGTCATAAATGATGAGGTTGGAGACAGGATTTGGGAAGCTATTTTAAAATCGCATGAATCTGTTGACCAAATATTACAACATAATCTGATTGATGGTTATAATTTGTCAAAACAAGCCTTTTTAGCTGCAGAAACTGCTTTCAGTGATCCATCACTTTTAGCTTTATTATATTTTCCTGAGGACCAAAAGTGAGTAAACAGAGAGGTATCGAGTGTATCAGAGCGGACGCCGCAGTTGCATTCGCCATCGCGACTTGCGGGGGAGGGAGTAGGCAAACCCGCAACACTGTGGCGTCCGCTGCGATACAACACCACCCGATACGTGCAAGACCAATTTGTACTAAGGGTTGCCCACATGCCCTGGTACATCACAAAGCATCTTTATAATACATTTTTTTCTTCCAGGTATGCTGTTTACATTCCACTCTTTCTTCCAGTCATGATCCCAGTGCTTATGTCATTGAAAAGTATTAGAAGTTGGTGGGTCACTGGAGCTGTTCAACCCGAAGAAAAGGAAAAATCAGAGTGAAAATACCCAGGCTATTGGAAGGTTGTGACTGATACAAAATAATGTTTACAAGTGAATTTTTTTAAAAATGTATGTATGAAACTAGTCCATTGTCAACAATTTCTTTTAAAAAAATACACACACAAAGAAAATTATTGTTTTTTATATTTTCATGGCTCTGCACCCCCCCCCCTCTACCATCTTTTGGACGGACGTATTTGGGATCATCCAGAAACGTCCGTCATTCGCCGTGACGAACCTGACAAGTTGAGCCTGTGAGTGTTCTCATAACGCCTGATAGGTAGGCAACAATTTGCCTGGGGTGCATGCGTGTACTGCGGGATGGCCGACCCTGAGTCTCGCAGGCGCCAAACTCCCGCAATTTGCCGAATGAATATGAGAAAAGGCGGACGTACGATCTAGACGATCCCTTTCACCTAGATGTGCCTTCTGTTGGCCCTGCGAAAACATGACTTAGTCACTCCCCCCATATCTAACGGACGCATTTCACTGAGGTGGGTGGGCCTTTAGTGGGCGCTGATAACATGCCCTGCGCCTCAGATAGCTAATCGGCATGCCTTATTAGGGAGTAGGACATTCTTTTATGATAGAATCGCACTCAAATGTCGGCGGCCACATTACTCGATCTGCTTTACATTTTTGTGCTTGGAATGCTTCTGACCGATTAACTTAATCGTCCTTTCTCTTTTGTTGTTTTTTCCGTGCAATTTTTTTCGCTGCATGTTCATGTGCTCTCCAGGGGCGTCACTGGTCGTCACGCGGGGAGCAACGCGTTACCCACGTGACCATCGTGATGGAGTGTCCCTCGAGGCTTTCGTCTGTCACCTACCGACCGCACCGCGGGCGCCCAGAAACACAAAACACAAGGTCCTTTAAAAGTGGAATAATAGTGCACGGACGCGTCCGCTGGTGAGTGACGCTGAGTGACGTCACATGGACGCGCATGCGTCGCCGCGCCGCTCTGTTGGAGGTCCTTATCTGTACTGCTAATAATCTTACGGTGGCGTGGCGTGGCGCGCGGTGCGGTGCGGCGCGGTGCGGCGCCCAGGACTGCAGCCTTGCCCGTCGCGTCCGACACAGTCGCTCTGGCCCAGCAGTACCGCAGTACCGAGTCAGCCGCACCGCCGCGGCACCGCCAGGCCGCTCCACACAGGCGAGGCTCCGCCGGAGGCCCCCGCGCCCCACGCTCGGCTTTACGCGACACGGGTACCTTGAGCACGGCCCGTACCCGCGCGTCCTGCCGCCCCCGGCCCCTCCCCCGGCCCGACACGGCCCGGTGCCCCAACAGGTAGGACCCCCCCCCCCAGACCCACCCCTACCTACGGGGTGGCGTGGTGCTGCTACGTTACCGCGCTGCTACACGTCACCACAGCACGACTCGGTGTGTGAACCGCCCACCGCCGGACCGGGCGGGCGGCGGGCGTGCCACTCGGCGAGCTGGGCGGCACGGGGATACAGACCGCGGCCCGGCCAGTGTTTGCGCGCGCCTATTTCTAGGAACTAGCCGAACGTGTACTGGGTGGAGGGGGG